CAAATATGATTAAGTTCTTCCGACTTGCTCTTTACTTGATTCCTCTAAAACTAACCAGCAGTAAATAATAATATTTGAAACTAAAAGATCTAAGCATTACTAAAAAATGTACAGGGATATTGTATCCTGAAACAGAAAGCAATAATCTAAAAAAAGAATCTGACACTATACGAAAAATAAATTATTTCTCTCAGACAAATCGTCAAACACCTGGTGCTCACACACCTACACATCATATTAATAATTGTACCACCATTCAAAAGCTTATAATTTACTTGTCTTGAATAAATCAAGAACATATATAGAAACAAACCTGTTACATACGACCAAGCTTGCTCCACACCTCTCTCGTGAAACAAAATTGTAAAGGGTATGTGCATATGAAGATTTGTGGTATCAGCTGCAAAAGCAGATAAAAATTCAAAATTGAAACAAATGTTATACCACAACTAACTAACAATACTACAAGAGATGCAAATTTAACCCCAGTTGATAGTTTTTTCATCCCAGGGAGAACAAATCTTGTTGAAATCATGTTGTCGACCCCACCAAAAGCTGTCAATTTAAATGCTCGATTAAAACAATAAACAGTTGTACATTATGTCTACAAACAACCACAATCAATAGGTTAAAACAAACTAAAGATTTTAGTTTGAAAATACTAGAATCGAATCATTGAGAGACCAATTTGGCAATTCCTAGGAAAAAAAAACTTACCTGATAGAGAAGTTGTGTCGACGTTGAAGTCCCAGAGGGGACAAATGGAGAATTAGGGTTTGATCGAGAGCGAATGGGTTTAGGGTTAAAGGGGAAAATGGACGATAGATCTGAAGAGAAGATAGAAGGAACTAATAAGAGATGAGAAGGATGTTGAAGGCGTCTCCGGCTAGGTTGAAGAAGGGGAAAATAGCGAAGATGATGAAGCACTCACCAGAAAAGATTGAAATCGCCGCTCCTTTCCTCCTACCACTTGTCGTCCTACACTTCATCTTTTTTGGAGCTAGGTTAGGCCGTTAGGGAGGATCATCCTAATTCTGAATGAGATAAAATACATTTGATGTTGATTGTTTTAAAAAAGGATAAAGCCAGTAAAGAGATTACCATAATTATAGTGTATTTGTAGAAATTATTTATCAAATTAGTAAATTACCCATATTTATTTGTTTGATTATTTATTTATTTTTTAAACTATGATTGGTCCACAGTCAACCATACAATAACACAATAATTACTTTAAACACCTGAACCTAGCTCTCTCTCTCTCTCTCTCTCTCTATATATATATATATATATACATATATATATATATATATATATATATATATATATATATATATATATATATATATATATATATATATATATACCAAGCTCTAAATGTTATAAAAAAGGATTTGTTCATTGGTTAATTATAGTTTTCTATTTAACCTTACCCTGTATAATATATGTTACTTTCATTTAACTTAATCTTTCGACGACAATCAACTATTAAATAGACATAGGCTTAACTTTTAGTTATTCATCAATTTTCAAGGTACACATGGTTATACGTGTTTTGAAGGTTCCTTTATGTTATATATATATATATATATATATATATATATATATATATATATATATATATATATATATATATATATATATATATATTCAAATGAGAAACAAAAAAGATTAAGAACCCTAAGAACCCCCAATTAGTTAGTAAATATTTACATGATATTCTTATTAAACGTGTGAATTGATACAAAAATAGCAAAATTGTAATTTTTGCAGTATAATATTTTCATTCTTATATGCTCTCATATTTGAACAACAAACTTATATAAATTACAATTTATACCATCCATTTATAGTTTAATTCACAAAATTCACAACTTAATACAAAACATTTTACATTAATTCACAAACTCAAAAAAATCAAAAAGTCAAACTCTACTACTACCACCACTATATGTTGTCACCAACCAACCGTACCAGCATCACAATCATGATTTATTTCAAAATCAGATCTGTAAATAAATCATGCATTAATAACTTAAATATTACATTCACAGTCTAATAAAACCATTTATTTTACTCGTTTTGAATTTAATTCAAAACTATTATTAAAACTAATGTATTCTTACATACTTATACAACAAATATATATATATATATATATATATATATATATATATATATATATATTCAGAAGAAAATTAACAAAAAAAATTATACATAAATCATTCATATTTTAAATTGTGAATTCGATATATTAAACCGTGAATAAAATTTACATTATTTCAAAAGTAACCAAAAAAAATATAAAATAATAACAACTTAATGTCAATTCTTTCACAACTTAATATAATCAACTCATAATTTAATACACAAAATCTACAACATAATGTAGTTAATTCATAGTCTAAAAAGAAAATTTACAGTTTAATGCAGTCAATTCATACTTTAAAACAAAACAATCACAGTTTAGTTTACAAAATTCAAAGTTTAATACACAAAAAGTATGCATCTACAATCATATTTTCAACATAACACTCCTTATATAGTCGATTCAAAGTTTATACATAAAATTCATAGCTTCATACAAGTAACTTCATACTTTCATACACATAATTAACAACTTAATCTAGTCAATTTACAGTTCAAACATAAAATTCAAAGCTTAATGCATTCAATTCGTAGTTCATAAAGAAAATTAAGAGCTTAATGCAATCAATTCATAGTTTAAAACACAAAAATCACAGTTTAGTACACTAAATTCACATTTTAATACGCAAAAAGTAATATTTACATCTATATTATGAACTTAAAACAGTTATTACAATTAATACAAAATTTAATATAGAAAATTTACAAACTAGTATAATAAATTCAAAGTTTAATTAAAAAAAATTAAACATTCACAAATAAAAAGGAGTTAAAACTAAGATTAAAAAAACTATACGACAAATCAGAGATTAAAACATCAAATTCACACTTTAACAGAAAAAAAAAAAGAAACAAAAAAATATTTTAGGAGTCTCTTTCATAGTATTCACTACTTAAAACCATATCAATTCACTCATTCACAGTTAAAACGAACTGAACAATAGTTGAAATATTAAAAATCATAATTCACAACTTAAAAATAAATAAATTCACATTATTCGAGAATAAAATTTCGATGCATATATTATAACAAATAAGAAAAAAAGCATGGATCCACAACATAACAACAGAAAAAACTATGATTAAAAAAAATAAACAATAAATGAAATATTAAAATATTAACTTCACAGCTTAACAGAAGAAAAAAAGACAACATACATGCCATGTTTCACTAGAGGTCAGAAAGAAAGAGATGGAAAATATGACGGTGTTGAAACTTATCTAAAAAGAAATTCAAAGCTTAATTCATTCAATTCATCACAAAACCAAATATCACAACTTAATATATATAACTTATATAGTCAATTTACAATTTAAAAAGGAAATTCACAGCTTAATTTATTCAATTCAAAACAAAAACCAAATATCACAACTTAATATATATGGAATTAAATTAATGCTTATATTATTCAAGTGATCAATTGATATATATATATATATATATATATATATATATATATATATATATATATATATATATATATATATATATATATATATGGAAAAGTGAATATATATAACAGCCCCATACAAGCTTAGGTGTGAAACCAAATACCACGTCGTTTTGAGGTTGATTTGCCAATACCCTATTTTCCTACGAAATTCACAGTACCCAATTGACGTAGCTTCTCAGTTGAACTTTCAAGATCTTCCTTTATTATTCTATCTTCATATTTAATCGCAATGTCATGATCATCTTCTCCTTTTCGTAATCGCAAGGTAATAATCTTCTTTATTGTTTTTCTAATTGCATATATGAAACCGAAGTCATATACACAGCATAACGCATTCAATTTTGAGCAGTATTAAATTTTTTTGCCTCACTTATTTAATATTATTTACATATAACGAAATCTATATGAACGCATTCATTTTTGAGTTCTTCTTTGATTGTCCCTTTTGACATCGACATATATGTTTATTCAATATCACTTTATTTACTAACCAAATCATCAAGTAATTAAAAATCAAAGTGGCACTTGGCATCATGCTAATCAATGGGGAAACAATGTTATACTCAATTAGTGGAGTCCAAACTAAGATGCGATCAAAATTAAAAGATTACACACAATTATTTCATGCCATTATAAAACAATAGCTTGTAATTCCACTTTTAAGATGTTGAGTGAGTTCTTATAAGTACTTGTTTTCGACAGTATGTGCAATTTATTGGTGTTATCAAGTAATTAACTTGTAATTTCTTTCTCTTTCGTTTTTTTTTTTCTTTTAATTTGACAGGATTTCTATTGTTTCCAATCTGTCTTCTCTTTGAAAAATCATTACAGGTAATTAATGGCATTATGTTCATCCTTTTGTTTAAATTTTAGTGCTTATCTTTTTTCTCATGAGTACTACATACTTTGGCACTTTACAGATACTTACACATGTTGGTAGAACTCCAAGTATCAGATCGACCCTCTGAAACAAGTATACCCGAAGATATTAACACTAATACCATCATGGATTTAGAAAAACAAGTAGCAGATCATTCGTTTGAAACACAAATAGATGAAGATATTGATGCAAATGGTTAATTGGAAGCAACATCTGAATCCGAGCAAATAAATGATGATGGTGTGCATCTTGGATGTGATGAAGGTGAAAATAATGATACATGTATTATTGGAAAGGTTTTCGATACACCCAACGATGCATATACATTTTATAATGACTATTCATTTTTACATGGTTTTGGTACACGAAAACATTGGAAATTTAAGAACAAGTCAACAAATGAGCATTATCGGAGGATATATGCATGCAACAAAGAAGGTTTCAAACAATTGAAAGGTAATAATTCAAGTGGAAAGACAATAAAACGTCGTAGAGAGGTAAGAACTGGATGCAAAGCAATGATTCTCATTTCAAAACAAAAGGATGGGAAATGGATTGTTGACAAGTTTAATGACACACACAATCATGACTTAAGCATGACACCAACAAAGGTAATGAAGCATAGATCTCATGGGAAGTTCCACCGTACAATGGAATGTAAATCTCTTATGGTGGAACTTGGTCAATCGGGGTTGAATCCATGTCATATTAAAAAGGCTATTAATGCATTGAAACCTTTAGATGAAGTTGATGTTACGTCAAAGCAATGTGTTGATGTCTTATCCGAACAACGAAAACAATATAAGGGAAAGGAGTTTTATGGACTTATAAAGCATTTCCAAGATAAAGCATTATTGGATAATGACCATTATTTTGTCGTAGACTTGTGTGATGATGGGTGTCCTCGGAATATCTTTTCGGCTGATGGAAGATCAAGAGACGCATATACTAAGTTTAGAGATGTTGTTGTGTTTGATGTTACTTATATGACAAACAAGTACAAGATGCCATTTGCTCCCTTTGTAGGGGTTAATCATCATGTGCAATCTATACTTTTTGGTGGAGCATTGCTAGAAAATGAAAAGGAAGAAACATTTGAGTGGTTATTTGAGAATTTTTTAAAATGTATGTTTACCAAGTATCCGAAGGCAATTATTACAGATCAGGATAAAGCTATGGGTACTGCGATAAAGAAAGTGTTTCCAAACACTCGGCACCGCTTTTGTGACTGGCATATTAAAAAGCATGAGTCTGATCACCTTCGACCATTTGTTACCCATTATAGTGATTTTCAGGAATCATATAAAGATTGGGTGAATAGTGACACCATTGAAGAGTTTGAAAGCAAATGGGAAGTTATACGTATTAAGTATAATTTGGAAAATAATTGTTGGATAAGTCAAATGTATAGACAACGGATACATTGGGCTAAAGCCTTTCTTAAAGATATTTTCTTGGCTGGTATGACAACCAGTGGACGAAGTGAGAGTATTAATTCCTTTTTTGATGGATTTGTCAATTCGAGCACCATGTTGAATGAATTCGTAATACAATATGACAAAGCAGTTAAGTCTCGAAGGGAAGCCGAAGAAGATGAGGACTTCAAGACAATGAACTCAAGAGCAGTTCTTTCTTCTGTGCATCCAATTGAAGCAAAAGCAGGTGAGTGCTATACTAGAAACATTTTTGAGATTTTTAAAAAAGAATAGATGGAAGCCAATAACAATTTAACTCATGAGACTCTAAACAAAAGTACAGAAGAAATAACATATCGAGTTGGGCAAATGAATATTGATAAAAAATATTGGAGAATTGTTAGCTTCCGTTTGGTTAGTCAAATGAATGTTATATGTTCTTGTGCTAAGTATGAGATATATGGAATTTTATGCAAACATTGCCTATATGTAATGAAGAAGAGGCATGTTGAAACACTTCCGAGTCACTATATTTTACCTCGATGGACACTTAATGTTAGGTACAAAGTGGGTAATAATAGTATTGGACTTGAAGAAATGAACAATGATAATGGGGTTAGTGCATACACTTTATGGTGTGTTCGTTCCAACTTTACCAAAGTAATTGAACAAGCGAAATTCTCCCCTTTAAAGATAGAAAAAGTTAATAACGTATTAATAAAGCTTTTAGATGATCTAACGATTCAGGAAAAACCAGTAGCATTTGAAAATTCATCGCAAGGTTATTCTGTGGGACTTTCAGAAATAAATATGATGCCTCAGATATCTGTCCGAGATCCTCTTGGTCCAACTAATATGAAAGGTCGTCCGAAAAATGCAAGTAGAATCAAGTCTTCTCTAGAAATGTCGAAAAAACGAACATGTTCTTACTGTCAGGGATTGGGTCATTATGCCACTAGTTGTTCAAAAAGAAAGGTAGTTATAATATTAATTTACATTTTTATGATTATCTTTTTTTGAAAATTATATTAATTTGTTCCAGGTGGATGCATCGTTACAAGAAAAACAGTGACGAATGGTTGCTATTTTCTTGGATGCTGTGGGAAGAAGTTTTATGGAAAAAATATGTGCTTATCTTCTGTTTTGTTTTTTGGAATATGATTTTGGAATAATGGATAGTTGTTAGTTTTTGGAAAAGAAAAAATAGTGATGGAGAGTTTTTTTAGTTCTCGAACCTATTTTGGAATGGTTGAGAGAAACAATTTTATGTTTCTTCCTGTTTTAAATAATAATGAGCAAAAGTATGTAGTACTCATGAGACAAAAGATAAGCACTAAAATTTAAACAAAAGGATGAACAGAATGCCATTAATTACCTGTAATGATTTTTCAAAGAGAAGACAGATTGGAAACAATAGAAATCCTGTCAAATTAAAAAAAAAAGAACGAAAGAGAAAGAAATTACAAGTTAATTACTTGATAACACTAATAAATTGCACATACTGCCGAAAACAAGTACTTATAAGAACTCACTCAACATCTTAAAAGTGAAATTACAAGCTATTATTTTATAATGGCATGAAGTAATTGTGTGTAATCTTTTAATTTTGATCGCATCTTAGTTGGACTCCACTAATTGAGTGTAATATTGTTTCCCCGTTAATTAGCATGATGCCAAGTGCCACTGTGATTTTTAATTACTTGATGATTTGGTTAGTAAATAAAGTGATAATTGAATAAAGATATATGTCGAAGTCAAAAGGGATAATCAAAGAAGAACTCAAATATGCTCAGAATTGAATGAGTTATAATGTGTATATGACTTCGGTTTCATATATGCAATTAGAAAAACAATACAGAAGATTATTAACTTGCGATTACGAAAAGGAAAAGATGATCATGACATTGCGATTAAATATGAAGATAGAATAATAAAGGAAGATCTTGAAAGTTGAACTGAGAAGCTACGTCAATTGAGTACTGTGAATTTCGTAGGAAAATAGGGTATTGGCAAATCAACCTCAAAACGACGTGGTATTTGGTTCCACACCTAAGCTTGTATGGGGCTGTTATATATATTCACTTTTCCATATATATATATATATATATATATATATATATATATATATATATTATATATATATATATATATATATATATATATATATATATATATATATATATATATCAGTTACATATATTTCCAATATATTTTGTAGTTAAACTAAAAATGTTAAAATAAGAATATGTAAAATAATCTATTAAAAATTTAATATCAATTCCTATTAATAATTAACCATTCAATCTTTTTATGTGTTAAAATGTGAATTTTAACATTCTTATTCTAACGATCAAATATTCTTTAATCTTTTATATATTAAATTAAATATCTATTAAAAACTTAATCTCAATTCCTATTAAAATATAGAAAATTTTTATTTTAACATTCCTATTTTAACGATCAAATATATTGGAAATATATATATATATATATATATATATATATATATATATATATATATATATATATATATATATATATATATATATGTTCAAGTTCATTTGAGACCATGCTAATTTTGTGACACCGTGAGACCAAATCTAAAAATAATTTTAAAATGCAAAATAAATGGAAAAATCCAAAAATTCTTTTTTTAAATATTATTTTCGGAACTTGAATTAACTAAAAAAATTAAATATATATATATATATATATATATATATATATATATATATATATATATATATATATATATATATATATATATATATATATATATATATATATATATATATATATAAAAGATTGAAATATATTTGTTGTTAATATTCCAATAAATTATCATAATATATAAAAGATTGAAATAATATATTATAAAAAAATAATGATGCCACATCAACCGTCACCTAAATAAAATAAATATGAGACTCGAAATAAGTTTAATGTCAATAGTATTATTAATTTTTTTAATCATAAAAATACAAAAAGTCTTAGTTTGATTTGTTTATGATACAATTAAAAATTATATACCCGATAGTTTTTTTAACAAAATTATAGTTTTTGTAGATTTTTAATAAACTAAAAAAATATATGTGGACATAAAAGTTTGGTAGGTAAGGATTTGATTTGATGCTTTTATATAAGTAAAAGGTTGTAAACTAAAATTACAAATGATGACTTATGGGGAATTGCTACATAAAAAGCTGATAAATGAAAAAAAATAACCAATAGAAAATAGTAAAAAATATAATGACGTGTTATTTTGAAAATAGATATAGTTTTAAAAAAGAAATATAATTCAAATATTCTATTAAAAACTTAATATGGCAGCCATTAAATGTAATCTAGACGAATATTCACGCGTTGTGCAGAATAAAATTAAAACTTTTAGAAATCTGGTGTTATTGAAAATATTTATATCATTTATATTAAGTATGAAATAATAATTATTTCATTTAGTTTATATAAAATTATAATTAATTTGAACAATAAATAAAATAACGTTTATTAAAATCAAATCATTCAATAGTCTCTACTCATGTTTTACGTGGGTATAACATTAATTATATTTGTCAACTATTTTAATTTACTAATGTTACAATTTATTAATTAAAAAAAAAAAGTTGATGGTGTTTTAATTTCATGATGATGATTATTTAAGTTACTAACAACTGTTTGTAATCTAAAATAACTTAATTTCTAAGTTTTTATTATTTTTAACTATTTTTAAGATAAATTTATTTAAAAACAACTTAATTGAATTTTAATTATTATAAAATATAGTTTCCAGACAGTTTTTAGTTAATTCAATTCATCGATTTAAATTCTTTTATATTTATTATATTTAATTTTTTCATTTTAACTATGTTAAAAATGTATATATTGAATTTTTTTTTAACATTATTTAATATTTTACTTTAGGTTTTAAATTTTACACTAAATTTTTATGCTTATTTGATATATTAATGTAGGTTGTTTATTTAACAATCTATTGAGATTAACAAATTAAGTATATCATATTGATAAATCACAAAGTCTTCCATATATGATAATGTTTACAACTAAAAACATATTTTAGTTAATACATTAAGTATATTAAATGGAAATATGAAGCGTTCGGAGTTTCAAGTGGATGTGGTGAAAGAATTTTTTTTATGCTTATTTGATATATTAATGTAGGTTATTTATTTAACAACATATAAAAATTAATCAATTAAGTATATCGTATTGATAAGTCACAAAGTCTTTCATATATGATAATGTTTACAACTAAAAACATATTTAAGTTAATAAATTAAGTATATTAAATGGAAATATGAATAGCTGGGAGTTTCAAATATATGTGGTAAAAGAAAAAATGTTTCCTTTATAATATAGGATGTTATGATATGATCTCACGTACTTGATAAAATGTAAAAGGAATAATATGACAACTAGCAATTAGAGCATCTCTAGAGCAATTAGCATCTTGATTGAAGCAAATTAAAATAATGATATTCAATTAAAGGAAAAAAATCACAACATTACAAACGCCCATATTTTGCATTTATCGAGCATCTATCACCAGAGAGCTCTTGTCATAAATTTTGTGAAGGTGATTTCAGTCAAATCACAATCGGAACTTCATTACTCCAATATCTCAAAATGCCTGGAGTACCACAGTTGCACCTTCCTGTCAACATTTCAACATTAGCACAAACAAATACATAAACATCAAAAATTATACTCAAATCTCTTTATCACCTCAATACAATAAACGTCCAGCTTGAAATAATTTAAATTGCGATGTTCAGATAGATCTATATCAATACCGATGTTTTCAACTCACTGGAGACAATAATTATATGTAGCAGTGGTGCAGGTAACAACAGTCTCAAATGGTGGTAGAGCATCAATCTGTTGAGGTTCGACGACGACGGCGAATCTAGAGTCGGAAACTGTCACACCCCAAAACCAGGAACGACGGAAACGTTCTGGGGCGGAGGACGTCATGTATAATATCAAAAACAATGTAAAGTAGTAAACAAGCAACAACATCATCCATTGCATTAATAATATAATTATTATACAAATGTGTTCTGTCAAATTTTGATAAACACTAAAGCATAAATCAAAATGAAAGATAAGTCTTGAACAAGCTCCATCTTCCTTTCTCCTTGCATCGGTACCTGTCTATGATGACCTGAGGATACAAGTAATTTTGAAAGCGAGTATCAACTTTAAAGCTGGTGAGATCATAAGTATTTAGTGTCTTAATTTGTATGTGAGAAAATGTAAGTATATGTACTTAAAAGTATTGAAAGTGTATATGAACTGTAAGTGTTTGAAAAACCCTAGAATCCCTATGATTCCTATTAATAACAAAAGGAGTCTTCTACCAAGACCTAACTGTTCTGAATGTAGTCTTCTACCAAGACCTAACTGTTCTGAATGTAGTCTTCTACCAAGACCTAACTGTTTGAATGTGTGTGTCTCTTGTAAGAGGATGTATTTTCCAAAGTATAACTATCATTATTCAAAAATATAGTTTGTACAATAATGTTTAAGTGAGGTTATCACTAAAAATATGTAATGGAAAATCAATGTAGTACTATGGTGTAGTGTCCAACTACAACCGTACTTATTACCTTAAATCTAGGGTAATACTTCCAAGTACTGTAGTATTTAATAAAAATAACTACATCGGTACTCAACTGCCTTATTTGAGGGTAAGGTATAATGTGATGTCTAGATCCCAGACTATACGCTCCCCTATCAAAGGGATTTTGGGACCTACCCACGACCCCTGCATGAACGCAAGCCGTGAGCATCCACATTACCGAATGATCATGTATACTCGATATAACTATCACAATTGTGGTGTGATTCATCAGTATAGTTAGATCCTGAACTGGTTCCGTGCTATAGCACCTAATGACGTCTGTTCTATGTATATGTAAGTGTGATCATGTAATTGTACTCAAGTAAGAGCGATCATGTAATAGTACAGTAGTGTACTGTAATGTTCTACGTGTGCTAGCTGTAATGTGTGTTCTCTCTATCTAGCAAGTATAGTAATGTAATCATTCTAGT